ATCGGCAAACAAACCGTACCGAACCGAACTAATTCGCAAATCTACTAACTTAACCCAAGCCCAAACCCAAATCCTAACCCGTGACCACAGAATTGAGCCCGATTGAAATCTGCCCTGCGGTTTGATTATATTTCATAAGCCTAGACCCCTTGTAGAAATCACATCTGGCACAGTTTCGTGTGAAGCAAACCACTAATCAAATACACAACTTCGGGAGTTTGGGGGCTGTCGAAAAGGCAGGATACAATTGAGTTTAGTTATCACCCTGATACGCTTTGAATACGCTGCCAAACATTCACCTTCTAAGTTAATAAACGAGTTTTGGCAAAGATTTAGTAAACTATTCAGAAAGACTACTAAATGTGTACAATATATTTTATAAAAACTAATTTTATATGCTTGTTATACGATAAATGACATTAAAACAATGCAAAGAGATTATATCAGATTTTTGAAAACCATTGTGATAAGAGCTATACTAATTTTTGTAGAACTTAAAGATGATTTTCTTGTATAAAATAAGGTTTATTTTAATTACAAAAATATTTTAATTGCAGTAATTCTTTTAAATATTTCATAATTTTTCTATTTACTATAATATTTAATATTATAGCTTCTAATAGCTGATTTGGAATGCTCTATTCGTCCATCAAGTTTGAAAAGAACTAGTTGATTTGCTAAGTCGCCCGATGATTAAATGAGTCTTAAATGCTTTTCTCTAAACTTGGAAAGTAGCCGAGAAAACGGATAAAATTTGCCGGCAATGAAAGAGGGGAAGAGGGAACTGACCACAGTAATTTAGCTATAGGCTGCAAACGGAAGGGAACTTAGCAGAGGGCAAAAGAACAAGGCCAAAAGCATAACAGAATCAGAGCCAGACAAACTAACTTGATGGCCGTCATCAGCAGGCCCCAGAAGGCCTGACTTGTCACGTCTTTGTGGCCCCATCTCCATCTCTTTTTCCGTCTACTCGTTTTTATCGCCCTCTCTTTCGCTGCCCCTGTCGCCGTCTCTATCGAACTCCCTGAGTGTATGTGTTTAATGACAGGACAGCTGCAATCTGCTGCAATCTGCTGCAATGATATCTATTAATTATGGCACAAACTCTCGCAAATTGAGTTTTATTTCCACTGAAGTGGATATTCATTTGCATATCACTCATACGCCAAGTGCACATCGCCAGGCCGCAAATTGGCCGAGCTGCAAGTGGCAAATCGTTGACAATACAATCCAAATGGAATAAACTATTCCGTTTCCCCCGGATTGAGTCCTCCTCGCACCGGCTTAGCCTTCGGGCTTTTTGTCCACTCGGTCTTGGTTACCAGGAAAATCCAGTGAGAGACATGATTAAATTATCGTTGACTTTTGTTGCACTAGCTGCTAGTTGAAGCAATAGCAGTAGCAGTAGCAATAGCTGTAGCACCCAGTAGCCACAGCTGCCGGCAATCGCAATCGAATCGAAGACAAACGGGGTGGGAATCTGGCATAAGGTATAAAGGACTTGGCTACTGCTACTGCTCCTGCTCCTGTTCCAACTCCCCTTGGCCAAATCAGATTAGTGGCTGGGATTCGTCGGGAACTTATTGTGTGCATATTGCAAATATACTTTTGTGCTACAGCAATTGCCTTGGCTACCATTTACTCAGAGCCATATTGCAATTTTGGTATTATATAAATAAACCGGATTGCATATATATTATTATATTGTCCAATGCGATTTATTTATCATGCTATGGATAACTGAAATCATCTTTATTTTTTTTTAAGCTCTTTGACAGTCTTTTATGTCCACCAGCATTATTCAATTTGTTTTTTTGACGTCTATAAATTTCAGACTAAAGGATTTAGTCAGTTGGGCAATATTTTTTTCAGAAAATGCTTGACTTGTTTAGTACATTTAAAAGAGGATTTAAAGTGTATGAGTTAATCTGCTTATCAGTTACACCTAAGACTGTAACGAAAAGCCTCTCAAACTAGAATTTTATGAAATTTTACTTTTGCCTCCAAACTTTGAAAGATCCGTAAGAGTATCCTGAATCAGCTAAGTGTTGGAAAACGCTTTTTGGAATTTAAAAAACAACTCCAACGCCTTCAAGCTTGGGCATTAAGAAAATTTTTAGTGATTTTATTTGTTGCTATAATTGGGCAACGATTTGGGAACTGCATCTTATCGTTTGATTGTCGTGATTATGCTTAATAAGTAGCCAGAGTTGTCATCATCATGCATGCAGCAAACGAAGCACACCCTCCTCTATCTATTTCGCTCTCGCTCGCTCACACACCCATAGCCACATGCATCAGTAGAGTTGTCTCGCTCTAGAGTTGTCTCCTCTCACTCTTCTCTCTTGGTTAAATCGGTGATGTGAAAAGCTCACACTCTTTCTCTGTCTTTAAATGAACTTCTTTCTTTCTCTATATCTATATATCTCCCTCTCTTTCTCTCTTTCTCTCTCTCTCTCTCTACTCTATCTATATCTCTCCCTTTCTCTCTCTCTCTCTTCTGCCTGTCTTCTCTTTCTGTTTGTGCTTCATCCACAGGAGGTGCCCGCGTTGAGTGACGGAATCTTTCACATTGATTCCTTTATACTGGAGGCACCGAAGAGCGCGATTTTCGTGGGATTACAGAATGATTTCATGTGCGATTTCTCCTACTCATCGGACGGGCAGTTGGCGCCCAACGTGGGGCATGAGGCCCGTGATGAGCAGGCGATTGGTGGCGGCGACTCTGACTTTGATTCGCAAATGGATTCGCCCAAGCAGACCTGTGACTGTGATTTCGATTTGAATGTGGATGTGGATGTGGATGTGGACGAGGGCCAGCAAATGGATATGGAAATTATGGAGGATGATGAGGAGGAGGAGGACGAGGAGCAGGAGGAGGAGGCGGAGGAGGAGGAGCAGCAGCTGGCAGAGGATCAGGAATATGACGATGGCATCGGTTTCAGTTGCGACAGCGACAGCGGTCTCACCCTGCCCGAGGATGACGAGGATGAATTCGTTCTGGTCACCGGCCAATGCCTGCCGCCCAGCAACTCCAGCCACAGCCACTCGTGTAGCAGTTCGTTGCAGTGCAGCAGCGGCGGATCGAGCGGCGGCACGGTGGCCAACAGCTCGTCCACCTCCATGGAGCTGGACATGATCCTGACCCCGCCACCGCCACCGGCACAGGCCAAACCCAAGACCAACCAGGCTCATCCCCTCAAGTTCCTGCACAAAATCATCTAAACAGAAAAAGAAAAACAAACAAGAAAGAATGCAACTCGAAATTTATTCGCTCACGTTTTGCGGTGCTGGTGCTTTGACCACCTGCTGCTGCTGCTGCTGCAGGCAAAGCTGCACGAACATCATTAAAATCAGGCTGGCAAAATTTGCAAAAAACAAAAAAAACAACTAAAATCCGAACCGATATCATCGAACCCATTCTCCATTCTCCATTCACCCTGTGGCCCGACCCAACCTTCGTATTTGCCCCCGTCGTCGTCGTTCGTGCTGATTTCACCGCAACCCCAAAATCAGAACAAAATCAAATCCTGGTCCTTGGGGGGATGTGCAGTTGCTTGGTTGGTTGGTTGGTTGGTTGGTTGGTTGAGCGCCGCCATTTCCCCCTCATTAATTTAAGCTGCTAATTGTAGGACGGGGCTATATCGTAGATATGGCCCCAGTTAGGTAGGAATGCCCAATGCCCAATACCCAATACCCAATACCCAATGCGACATTGGGCGAATATAGTTAACAGTATTATGGATATAACCTCATTAAAAGGCTTACAGTTTGTGGATATTATAATGCGAAAATAGGGAGGCAAGCAAAGGGTGGATCAAATTGAAATAGAACAAAATAATGAGCCCTGCATCTTGGCTGAAATGGAAACGAAATAAAGTTTGCATAATTTTACCGCGCCCTTGGAATCCCTGGTCCCCCTTTTCGCAACCCTAAGTAGTTATGGCAATATTGTAATAGTTTAAGTCTAATGTTCCCATTGGACAATCGTGCAATCCGAAGTGAAGTACATAGTTAACTGTTGGCTAAACGAACGGCTGCCAAAAAGAAATACCGCACAAAGGCTATACAAATATATATATATATATATATATAGAAAGTGGAAAATAAATATATATATATATAACAAAATTAAATGTGTACCGACAGATCATTTGACTGTTAACTTTGGAAATCAATTACTTTTTGGCTTGGGTCAGAAGGGGAAAGAAAAAGGGAAATGGGAAATGGTAAACGAGGCAAAGGTACTCGCATTTCCTTAGCGATTTGCATTGAATTTTCCTCATCTTTCCATTATATTGCTCGCGAAAGAGAAAGAAAGTAATTGGCAAGGGAGAGAGACTGAATGTTTGCCTTGTATTCCATTATGAATGCAATTTGAGGTGGTTTTCAGCTGGGTGGCTGGGTGGTTGGTGGCCATCGAGATTTGCACTGAATGCACTGCATTGGCTGGCGGATGCAGTTCGTCCTTCATTATTCTGAATTTACGCATTAACGCTTCCTTTTATGCACAGGCCATCAAGTGCTCCCCCCGACAGGATTTACCCACCCTGAACCCTCTTTTATATATATATATATATATATATATATATATATATATATATATATATATATATATATATTATATATACACACAATCGAAGTATTAATGACTGCAAAAGAGAGAGAAAGAGGGTGCCGGCATCAGGTGGCCAACTGGCTTAATTGCTCTGCCACGCCCCATATTTTTCCAGGCCCTCCTCCTTAATCCACAGTGCAGTGGGCTTTAAGGATATTATATTACGCGCTCTGCAGGCACTCTCGATGCGAGAATCGAGCTTAACCCAGCAGCTCACTTACCCTTCCCTTCCCTACCCTTCCCTACCAAATTAATTGAAAATATTTATTGTTATGCTTATTACATTGGTCTTACCCCACCACCCCCACCCCCACCCCCCTTTCTGTCTATATATATATATATATATATATATCTGTATGTATATATCCTTGAATTCCTGCAGGAGCACATCCGGGAGTCGAAGGAGAGCAAGCTGGACGAGATGGGCCACAACTCGAAAGGCCGTTCGAGGGAGAACATATCCAGGTGAGTCACAGTCTCAAATTGCTGCAGTTTCGAGAAGGCTGTGTGCAATGCAGTGCCTAATTGACAACACCATTTGGCATTAAGTATTCGCAGTGTGTGCACTTGCACCATGCCGATGCACTTATGCAGTGGCTCACCATGACAACTGATTGTGGGATTATTAAAAGCAATGCATTCATTATCACCGGCTTTAATACACCGTCAAATGCTGCCAGTAACGAGACCAATGAAATATTTGCTTAATATTAACACTTGCTGGGTTGTTGATTAAAGTTAAAACGTAATTTTCCAGCCAAATTGTCTACTTAGGCTTCAAGCTGATAAATAGGTTCTAATGAACTTGATACCAGTAATTGAAGTCCTATTGAAACTTAATTCATATGGGACCCATAATACGCAATTAAAATAGAGCATGTCAATTAACTAATTATTTTGCTTAATCGCAGCTCAATTACTTATTTATTACATATTTAAAATGCTTTAGGTGTTAAACCTTAAGTTGGTTTAACTTTAATTACAAAATTTAATTTCCAAAGAGAAACTACTCAGTAAACATTTAGCAATGTAAATTAATATTTGGAGCAATGCTTAAAACTTAATATTTAAATTAATTGTTAGGCCGAAACACTTAGTATTTATAAAATGTGGTGCACTTTAATTATTCAAAGAGCCTTTTGTTTACAAACTACTCTCATTAAGAGACCACAAAACTTAGTAAATTCCTAAAGCCTATCATTATGCATGATAGAACTCTGAAAATTTAATCCTGGTTTTTTTTTTCCCGCCCCTTAGGCAAAAGCACTCGCAGACCTCTCTGCAGATCCTGGACGACGTCTCGAACCGATATTACCGCGAAGCGGTTCCACTCTCGACGCAGTCGAGCAAGGCGGACTTAAAGGAGAAGGAGCACAGCATTCTGCGCCGCCATGCGGACATGACCCAAACCAGTCTCTGCGGAGTGGGCGAGGATGATGGGGAGTCCAGCTCGACGACCACCGCCACCCACGAGCTGATGACAAAGGCGGCCATGTCGGCGGTACCCTCCAATGCCTGCGACATGGGCTGTCAGACGAGGTGAGTCCAAGTTCCAGTTCCCCATCCCGATACCGATACCGAAACGATAACGAAACGATACCGATCACGAATGTGTGGTGCAGTCAAATAGATGCCAGAATTTTTGCAAAGTCAACGGCGGACAAACACTAAAAACAATGACAGTGTTCGGAGCCCGGTTGAAGTTCCGGAATCCAGAAGGGTGGAAGGCGGGGGGGAGGCTATTTGAGCTGGGCGTCGTCCCTCGAACAACACAAATCGATGCAAATATTTGTATTTGCATGCGTCTTTATTGGATATGGGCGACACAGGTCGGGACTCGGGAATGTGGGTTAGCACCAGGATGCCACGATGGGCCAACAGCCAGACAGCCAGACAGCCAGACAGACAGACAGACAGACAGGCGGACAGACAAACATGGGCACTGACAGGCGGAATGCAGTGACACACAGCTGACGACGTGCCCAGATGAAGATGATTCATGCCACCGAATAGTGATGGGAACGAGTCACTGCCACTGTCACTGTCACTGCCACTGCCACTGTCACTGTCACTGCCACTGTCACAGCCAAACTGCTACAGGTTGTTCGGGGGTGATTTATTAGAGGGCTGGCATTTATCATTGTACATAGGCAACACAATGCCCAAAAGCGGTTTAGATTAAGACACAAGTGGCCTAAATGTGAGAAGCACATTGTTATTTTGCCTGAAAACCATAAATTTTTTAAATGTTTGCCTAACTTATACAAGCAATATAACAACTTTTAAATTGTATAAAACACAGATGATTGACATGCTCCAAACTAAAATGTTAAAGATTAACTTATAAGTGTGTTGTAAATATAATTGTTGTAATTTGATTGTTCTGTTTTGTATTGTTTAACTTTAATTGGTTTAATAAAAAAAAATACTCCTTGAATTTTCTAACTAATTTGATGGTGTTTGATATTTTTTATGCCGTCCCAATACTAACACAAATGATTTTCTGTTTTATAAACTATTTACATACACAATTCGTTATCTTGTTTTAACCAAATCTTAAATTTGTGTGTGAGTTATGCCATCTTTAACTCACAAACCTCTAAAAATGATGAACAAATTTATTCAATTTTTTTGATACAAATATCGGGAAATCTGGTCAGCACTGCCAAAGTGTTAGATAGTTATCTGTCAACGGGATCCTGTTTGTAGACCATATGCTTTCACAGCCATCTGACGGATTGAATTCGGCTGATTGGCGCACACCATTGTGCCACAATCCCAGGCCCGCGGCTACGCAATCGCCTTTGAGCTAACCGATGCCCCTCATCTGTATTACATTTCTGACCCGCACTTAAAACAGAATTCTTTACTTGGTCACAACGTTTTAATCATTATAGAACAGAGGTAGATTTTAAGAGGAACTAATAATTTTTAAAAAATTTATATTTTCAATGAAATTTTTTATTTGATTGCTTTGATGAACTAAATAAAACGAAAGCTTAGTATGTAATATATATAAAAAAGAATTCGCTTTGATATTTAGTTACTCCTTTTTAATTTTATAAACTTAAAACAATTTTTTTTTTCTTGTAATTTTTCAGTAGGTTTTTGTTTGTCCTCAAGTCTTGGCGCGCAAAAGTGTTGCATACTTCTAGGGCCATAAACTAGCGTACTCTAACCCAGTTGATAATGACTATAACTGGGAGTTTTATGGAGTATTTGAACTTAAATTCTGGGATCTTTCTAAATATACAGCCAAAAAAAAAAGTGTCATAGCAGCAAAACTATTGTTAATTTAAATTATTGGGTATATAAATATTTCTGAATAAGATGAGTATTAAATTAATACCACAAAATTATCAAAATAAAGCTTATGTGGCTTAAAAATCAGTTCTTAGACTTCCGTTTTAGACTCTTTGGTATAGAAATGAAATTTAGTATTGAATAAATCCTTATATTTCAATAGTGTAGTAATACTTAGTTTATTTTCTAGACACATTTATTAAAACTAAACTTTCAGTTTATATAATTGGGTGCAACAAAGTTGATGCAATAAAATGTCTATAATTTGGCTAAGGCCGGACTTTTTACAGTGTCCTTGCAAGCGATTGCCTGCGTGTGTGACTGACAAATATTAAAATCGTTCGCTTTGCTTTCTCTTTTCTCCTCTCTTTTCACCTTTCTCCGACCCCAGGGAATCGCTGTTTGTCAACAGTCCCGGAATTGGACCGTCGGCGGGTGCGGGCGTTGGCATTGGTGTTGCCGTTGGCTTGGGCTTCGCCGTTGCTCCCGGCGGTGGTGTTGCCACGCTAATGAGACAAAAGTCCAGCTCCTCGTCGCTGGGCGGCCACAGCGGCAATGGGGGCGGGGCTATGATGATGCCGCCGCCGCCGCCACGCTTCTTTTCCACCTTCGGCTATGAGCCATCGGGATCGCCGGCTGTGGCGACGCTGACAAGGCGCAGCATGCACCAGCAGCAGCAGCAGCAGCAACAACATTTGCAGCAGCAGCAACATCACCAGCTGCCGCGCCAAGAGTCCATGGAGATGGAGGAGCGACACAGCGGCCGCTCGCACTACGGCGGACTGCTGGTGACCCCGACGGCCAAGCCGCCGCAGGAGATCTGCCACCATCATCACCAGCACCAGCAGCAGTCACAGCAGCAACAGCAACATGCACAGCAGCAGCAACAGCAACATGCACAGCAGCAGCAGCGAATGCACCATGCACATCCGCATCCGCCGAGTATTGCCGCCCGCCTGCCCACGATGAAGGGACACGGCACCATGGGACAGACAACGATCCTGCCCGGCGGCAACAAGCAGCAGCAGCAGCAGCAACATCAGCAGCATCAGCAGAAGAACGAGGAGTCCAAAGTGTTCATCGACATACGGAATTCAGCACCAGACGTGATTATCATGACGTCCCATTGACATTTAAGGATGGCCCGCCAATCAGCAACAACAACGGTAGTGAACAGGAGCAACAACAATAGCAACAACAGCAGCATCAACAACAACAGCAGCAGCAGGAGCAACAACATGAGCAACAACTGCACCAGCAGGAGCAACAACATCAGCAACAACAGCAGCAACAACATGAGCAACAACAGCAGCAACAACAGCAGCAACAACAGCAGCAACAACATGAGCAACAACAGCAGCAACAACATGAACAACAACAGCAGCAACAACATGGGCAACAACAGCAGCAACAACGGCAGCAACAACATGAGCAACAACGGCAGCAACATCGGCGGAAGGAGGAAGCGTTACAGCAACTGGACATCGGCCAACATATTAACCGCAGCCGCAGCGTCGCTGATGACACAACAAGGACACGTGGGCGGCGTCGCGTTGCAATCAACCAAGGGGCTGTGCCACTGGTGTTTTTTTCACCCACCCACCCACTTCGCCCCTTTGACACACCCACCACCACCACCACCACAATCAACATCACCGCCGCCCACATCCGGCTTGCATTCCGTTGCACTCGTTTCGCGCATCCTTTTTAAAGTGAGGTGAACACGGTCTTTTTAACTGCTGCAGTTAAGAATTTCTGTAATGAAGACTCCAAACTTTTTCTGTAACCATTTATTTTGTTTCTTTTTGTGCTTTTTAAAGTGATACTTTAGTATTTTATTTGCCATTTAGTAAAGCTGATGTAAGAAGCAAGTTGAGGTTCTATCAGTATGTACATATATACAGTTGCGTTAAATATAATAATGGTTTTTAAATTCCTTCACTGAAATACTTATAGCGCATTGACCTTAGAAAGTATTTAAAAGTGTATATTTTAAAATTTTAATATTTATTTTTCAGTTCACTCAGCATCTTACAAACATTTCAGTAACATCCTTTAAACAACGAACACAATTGAAACAAATCATTTAAATAGCTTAAAATATAGAAATTAATATAAACATAACATTTAAAACAACCCAAGGTTTTTGTTTATGTATGATTTGTCTTTTTTAGTGGAAGCTAAAAAAAGTTAAGATTTTGACGGTACATAAAATATTCTAAGACTATTATTGTGATCTTCACCGCAGCTGTATATATAAACATAGAGGAATCTTTAAGAAAATAGCTTCACTTATCGACTTCAGCATGTTTCTATATACATATTTATTTTTTCTAAATTTTCACACTTAATATATGTCAAGTTTCACCCAAATTGGTTTTAAACATTGAAGCAAGCGCCAATTGCAGGTCCTTAAGACGAACTAAAACCGGCTAATGGCTCGGCAACGACTGGAGCTGACTGGGCGAGACAAATGGAAGATGTGTCGGTCCGTTGGCCTCGGCCAGCCCCTTTGCGATAGCCCGGTCCTGTTCTGTTCTGTTCTGTTCAGTTCAGTTCAGTTTTGGGGAATGGAAAGGAAAAGCCGAAGAGTTGTTCCAGTTGTTGTAGCCCGTAGCCGGTGGACCGCAATTGCTGGCGACATTTGCCGGACATTCTACGGCTGCGACAGCGGCATTTTCAGCTTGAAAACAATGCGAACGCAGGACACAAATACGGATACGGATGTGGACGTGGATGTGGACGTGAATGTGGATGTGAATGTGGATGTGAATGCGGATACAAGTACGGGGGAGTGGTGGGCAGTGCAGACACTAAGCAGACCGCTGACAACGTGGCGTATGAGCAACATGTCCCAGAACATTGTTATCGGACTCCGAACACCCACCATTCAACATCGCACAGCGACCAACCCACCTTGGCATTTTTCCACTTTTCCTATTTTCCCCAACATGTTTGCAGCTTGGAAAAATGTTGGACAGGAACTTCTTCATTTACATGCATTGCGGACGTGGTCCATTTCACGACGATGTCGCGACCAGAGTCCATCCATCACGGGCACGTGCTCGAAGCTCCATTTCGGGCTTGGGTTATGGGCTTGGATTTGTGCTTGGGTTTGGGTTTGGGTTTGGGTTTCGCCAACTCCCGCCAAGCAATTTGGGCGATAATAGTTTTAAGTGATTCGGGAGTGGTACACTCCGCTAGATTTATGAAACTCAATTCTTCGCCCTAGTCAAAAGCCAACTCAAATGCACCTTTTTCCACCCATTAATTGCCCATGGTCGAGAATTTGTTACGCTTTTATGAGTCAGCGTAAAGTTAATATTTTCTAAATTACAAGCTCTTATTTCTGTGTTTGAGCTATTAAACATATTTAAAAAAGTTTGAAATCAAATCATTTACGAGTTTTTAACGAATTCAAACTTTTTAAATTTAAATAAATCCAAAAATACTTTTTATTCCGATGAGTTTGCTTATTCTCTTTATTATAAAATTTACAACTACTTTGGTGAAGACTAAAGCCATTTAGAACCACTTTTAAACAATGATAATTAGTTGAGTAAATTGTCTCTTTAATAGATTTATAAATTTTTATGTTTTTCTGCGTTTAGATTTTTTCTGCAAAGTGGTCGCCAAGCTGTCATTGATTTTCGTGGAGTGTCCAATGGGTTAACGAAGCACCTTGGCAATCTTTTTGGCTTATCGGACATCTAAGTCCCTTTCAATTAGATAAATTAGCTGGCCACAGATTTCTCCGCACCTGTGAAAAGTCGTCCCCAGAACCGGGCTCTGGAATCTGTCGGTCCGCAATTAGCGTGGTCACCGTAATGCGGTTGGTTTTGGGCTTTGGGTTGTGGGCTTTGGGTTTCGGTTGGCCGGGATCATCCCGGCGGTTTGAGTGGTCTGAGTGGTTCCGATGGTGTAAATATTGTCGCAGCTGGCCAAAAAAAAACGAGAGAAGGGTTGGCTGAAGCTGCTACTAAAAAAAATATAGATGACAATGACAATGAGCGAGAGAGAGGGTGTGCAAAATCCATTTGATTGATTGAATTTAAAGAGCAGCGACAGCCAAGCGGGAAAATGGGGAAAATTACAAGACCGATGTCTGATAATGATAATGGTGATGATGATGATGATGATGATGATGATGGTGCAGTGCTGCAGCGTTTTTTCCCCCGCTCTTGGGAAAACTCAAATCATTAGAGTGATTAAAGGTTGAAGCTGACATGACAAGAGTTCCTTTGACTTGACTCGGACCCTCATCTTCTTGAGCTCTCAAATCAGTCATGGCAAATTCTTGGACTCTAATATCTGTTATGAACAAGAAACCTACGAAAGGCAGAAAGCCAACTAAATGAATTTAGCCAATTGTACATTACTTTGACGGGGATAATTTACATTTAAATTTCTCATTAGCTATTTCACACCTCTAATATACATAGTATGTATTTCGAAGAACCCTTATCATCTTGAGCTCAAAAATCAGACAAGACAACGACTTTTAGATCCAAAATAATTGATGAGCAAATTAAACAAATGTTTTAAGCCCGCTAAATGTTTTTAACGGAAGGAAAATGTTTCCCCATTTGTCGCCAAACTCTTAAACCTATTATGAATAACATTTATTTTAAAAAACCTGGACTTTTCTGAAAACCAAAAACAATTCACAAGCTGCTCTAACATCCTGAAAATATAAAAAAAAAATTAAAACCAAAAAAAAAAGCAAACCAAATGAATTTAATCAATTGTAAATCTAAATTATTACTCTAATTTGTTATTTCCTTAAAACAAATAGTTAAGGATCAGGAAATTATGTTCCAATAATAGAAAAATTCGCAATTCTCTTAACGATATAATTTCTTAAAAATTTTAGTTAAGGGCACGGAAATGTGTTACTGTTCCGTTTGTACATAAAAGTAAATAAACGTAAGATTGTTTTTAGGCTTAAACATAAACTACTTATAATTGTTAAACGATTTTTTCCGGTTTTGTTATAACCCTGAGAACCCTAGGACACTTTTTACTAGCTAAAATTTAAGATGAAATTTAGCGATTTTACTAAAAACAGCATCAAGAATCTATACTAATGAAAAAAAGAAAAACAAAAAATAAATGGATTACAATGTGTAGTATAAGTCAGCTATGCCTAGGATTAAGTAAAATGTACGATATTTTTTTTTTTATAAAAACATATACATAAATACTTAAAGTATCAAATTGAACTACAGAGAAACCCAGCAAAAAATATTTAAAAAAAATTGTCTTTTTTTTCAAAATGACTGCAAGCATTGTAACTGTAAATTGTCGAGCGACAAAAAAATGTAATACACATACGAGCATTAAATAAATACTTTAAAAAAAAATGCTTAAATGGATATGGCGAAAGAGATAGACGAGCAGAATTATGTGTGAGGATTTGAAAGTGTTTGAATGCGTGTAAAATAAGCCCCAAAGCGATTGAATAAAAATTAATTTTTGTGGAAATGTGAACAATGAAGGTGTGGTCTTGTTTTTTCCTGGGTGTTGGTACTTCAATCACTTCAATCGCCGCCCGAAAATATGCCATTAGTCGGTGAGATCGGCCCGAAAGTAGATGGCACTCGAGTGTGGATAAACACGGAAGGCGAATGGCGATAGCGATGGCGATGGCAGAGGCGGAGGCGGAGGCCATCGGATGACCCAATTAGAGGGGAGCAAACAATTCGCTATCGCATTGTGTCAGAACGGACTAGACCACCCGGAGGCGTCACAATCACGGCAGAAACGAATCGCTTAATTATGCGGGGTATCAGCAGAGACGAGGATGTGATGGACTCTTTAAAAGGTTGGTAACAGGTCGCAATGGGTCACTAGCTTAACACGCTACACAAATATAAATAGGGAGTCTTTTTAATTTATTGCATCATGGAAAGTATAATTTAGAATTCTGTTTAATTTCTAAGAAGTGGGAAAATTAATGCCAAAAATATCAAATTACCTTACATAATTATATAAATTTGTATCTTTACTAAACCACAAAGACAGTTAATTCCATTTAATATAATATTTTGGTACAATATAAGATCAATTAGTTATTTTTTTTAATGTACGCCAGTATAAAAATAGCAGCATTATCGAGTCAACTAAAAATTATTTATTGTTTTGTATGAGAATAACTTTAATTTAATAACCAAGCAAAAAAATATAATAATAATAATAATAATAATATAAAATATAACTTAAGATAAATTAGTTCGTTTATTTAATTTATGCCCATATAGAAATATCAGCTTTATTGAGATACAAAACTAATGATTATTTGTATAAGACTAACTTCAATTCACAATCCAAGCTTATAATTAATTCATTATTGAATTGAAGTTTTGTAATACAGAATACCATCATACACGACCTGATATATTTATTTTAATATTAGTAAATTCCAGGAAATTGTTTAAATTTAATTATTTGCTGTGATTTGTGGGTGGATGGATTTTATTTCGGGAAAGCCGTAGCAGTAATTATCTTTTGTATCGGTGAGTCCAAAACGTTCTTGTTGGCTCGCATTTGCCAGATAGCTGGCATGTGTATGAATCTGAGTCTGGAAGTCGCAGTGCGAAATGCAAATTGTCGCGCGCATCGCTTTTGTTTTCCATAGATTTATGCACTCGGTCGATGCTGCGGCTGATTTGTGGTCAGCCGTGTGAATGGCCAGCTCATCGGCGATGTGAGAGTCCCAGCCATATAAAAGTGAACCCCGCCGGACGGGGAATGGTAGTCGTAGTCGTAGTCGGTAGCCCCCAAGATGCCATCGAGTCGGTTTGATAACCAGCTGCAGATTCACCTGTTGCTCTGCGTCCTGCTCCTCGCCGCTGGACAGAGGATACCGGTTCGAGTGCCACAGCAGGATCTGCAGGTGCCCAACTTCGGGGGCGAGAGCTTCGAGAGATTTGCCAGCGGATCCGGTTCGGGATCGGGATCGAGCAGTAGCGGGAGCAGTGAGAGCCAGGAAACCAGCGATGAGATGCGGGAGCAACTGAAGCAGCTCCTGGGCAACCAGCTGTCCAAAGCCTTTGTCCCCCTGGCCACCACTCCTTTTACCCGCCGACAACCGGCCATTGTGGCACCCACTTCCTCCGGGGAAGCAGCTCGGACACAGTTCAACGCCGATCAGGATCAGGAAACGAATGAAGAGGAGTCCCCGGAGGAGGAGGAAGGGGGTGAAGGCAACGAGGAGGAGGCGGAGGAGGAAGAGCAGGTTACTCAGCAGCCACAGCCACTGCCACCACCTCTTCCACAGCCTGCAGGCCCCGAGGAGGAGCTGATTGGTGGGCAGGAGGAGGTGCTCGAGGACTACAATGCCTGGCGCGACAACTTCTACGACCTCAACGAAGACGGTAGCTATATCTTTGGGTAAGTTTGCACAGTCACAAGCCGTTACCATGACCATAAAAAAAAGGCTTTAACAAGTTAAGATTGCAGTTTTTCTAAGTATTCTCCTTATCTTTGGCTAGTGAAGGCTATGGTTAATATCAAAGTTAGGTTTATAAAACCCTTAGCTTAATGCATTAACTTAAACAAACATTTCACAGATTATTTAAATGAAAATTAACTTTTGTATAAGGTTGTGTAATTAATGAACATTTGAACATTTAATCTATAAGATGTGCATTTTTCCATCAAGTCAACAGATGCTGATATTTGGAAAGATTTTTCTTAATAACAAACCTTCAAATACAAAAAAAAAACACTTTTAAAAAGCCGATTTTGAACGAAAACACTGGAAAGTAATAGTCAAAAGTTCGAGTAACATCGTTAAACACGTTATAAAATTAATCGAATGTTATTCACATCTTACAATGTTTAGTTCTTGCAAATTTTCAGAAAAATAAACACCATGTAACCCCCTAACAAAAATACTAAAATCGGTCATAAACTAAATTTATTCGACTTTATTTTTAATGTAAAAAACACATTCTTATTTGGCCAGTTACTCCATACCCCATGGCGTTCGTCGCTGGGAGAAGGGCTTCTTTTCGGAGGAGCAGCATGGTAAAGTGATCGAGGGCTTCTACGTCCAGCCTCGTCAGATTGCCCAGGGCCTTGGATACGAGCTGCGATGCTACAGAGCCGATGACAATGGCTACCAGCCACTGCCAGGTAAGGAGTTTTATATATGTAGTACACAGTTTATATATTAATAACTACACATATATTTTTAAACAGTTGAGTTTCTAAGAACGCCGCCAGTTGTAAGGCGTGATGTGGTACCCCAGGTCAATTGCTTCCGTAATTCCGATGACAGACGACCATAAGCCGGGGATTGTCCAAAACCACACGATGGAAAACAATCCCCAAATTCAGTAGATAACACACTATAATCGTCCGAAATGCAGCCTTATTAAAGTGTATTTAAAATACTTTTTCCTAAGCTATTTATACTGTTTAAATTTTTTTTTTGCACGTGCTTAATATATCTAAATGGAAAAGTTTTATATTTATTGTCAGTTTAAATTCTCGACCTTAAACCATAAAGTTTATAAGCTGAAAATCCTTGAAAGGAATTAACCTATTCAAATTATTTTTTTTTATTAGGTAAGAGGAAATACATACATTGTTTCCTAACCTCATAATTAAAAATAAATCTTATTGGTGAGAGAAGGAAAATAGTTACATGTTAAGCAAAAATTCCAATATATTAAGCTGTATACTGTTTTACTAAAATAAGGACCGTCTGACTGTTTTTGGCCATACTTTACGACCAAACTCCTCTTAGCACATCCCGGGATTAAAAACAGGAAACCGTGGACCATAAAGAACTCGAGTCCATAAGAAGCATAACAATCGCTTAACCGAATTCACGGGGCTTACCCGTACAGTCATCACTTCCTTGTTTGCTTTGGCGCTACTTCTTGGTTTATTCTTTTTATTCGCTTTACTTTCGCCACTGTTTCAGCTTCCCTCGTTGCTCGGTTTCAAGTTTAATTCAAATGGCATTTCAAAATACTTTTTATTTGTTTTTATTGTCTTTTATTTTCGCCCAGGTCCTCGGTACTCTTTTTCTCTTTACTACATATAGAGAAAAGTATTAGTTTATTAGTCTTACTATCGAAGAAATTGACTACAGCGTTAAACAATCTTCTTAAATTTTGCTATTTCTTAAATTAAACATTATTAGCCTTATTTTCAGCAGCTTTGTATAACTTTTGGCAGTTTATGTTAAAAGAAATTATTATTATGCGTACAATTACAACGTTTAATTGCATTACACTAACACAAAGATTTAAAAAAGCGCTTTTAACGCTTTTTTGTAATACTTAAATATATTGGCTTGTTAAATAAATATAATTCTGAGATTCTAACTTTTTGAGGATCATTAATTTTCTCGCTGTGCATACGTCCCACTGTGGGGGGCAAACGAGATTTGTAGCTATGTGTGAGCTTGGCGTGGCTTTTGCGGCGTCCCTGGCGTGGAGCGGTATTCCCACAGTTTTCAATTTTTGGCGATTTGTTGCGGCACTTAACGGTTGTTTGTTAGCTGTCATTGTTGTTGCTGATGAAGCGCCTTTTGTCTCAACTTCCCTCCATATCTCTAGCGTTCTGCACACCGGTACAGGTCAACTTCTCTAAAGTGATCGCTTAAACGCAACAAAATAGTTAGTAATTTATATGCCCACGAGAAAGTTTTTCTACGTTAAATAAAATTAAATGAAAAATTAATGATTTCAACTAGAAAAATTTTTTTTTTAAATTTATAATTACTCCGCCTAAGGAAAAATTCCAATGAATGGCTTTTTTAAGTATTGAGTATGAAAGTATTTGAAGTTGTTCTTTAAATAAAGGTCCACCTGTACTTTGTATGATTGTTGTTCCCATTGTTTTTTCGCGACTATCCCAAGACGGACGCACAAATTCTGGGCAAATTGTTTGGGCCAAGTCGCCAGGAAGGGGTTGCCCGCATTCACATCCGCATCCGCATCCATAGCCCCATCCGAATCCAAATCCAAAAACCGCGGGTCCCCAAAGTTTGTTCGACTCTGGCTTAAATACGAATTTGCCTAAATCAACAAACGGCGAGAACAGAACATTTTGTGTGTCTTCTTTGCATTTGAAAAGTAAAAAGTAACAAGATTTCATTGTGGCTCATATTGTCTCGTCTATTTGCATATCTTGCGCGTGGCTTTATAGCGTTATATACGGGCGTAAATAGATATATATATATATATATATAAATATATATATATATATATACCACCGACCTTTGCATTATATAGTCAAGCCAAACAGCGAAGGAGCGGAGAAGGGGCCAGTAAACAGGTTCATTTAGCTCACGTTTTGAACTTTTAGCGATTGATCGTGATTTTTATTGTGGTTTCTGTTTCTGTTTCGGTTTCTGTTTGCTGTCATTTGCATGAGTCAACCGCGAGGAAAAAAAAAAGAATTTCTAAAATAAAAAAAATACTCCCAAATGAAATGTGGTCTCAGCATTTGCATGTTTGCGTTAAGTCAATATTTGGGAGGTATCCCACTTTAAAATCGGTATCCGATTGATAAAGTTATAATCTCATGAAGTGCCGTCTTGGCTTACATTTCTAAGGCCTTAGGAGAGATAGAAAAATTTACCATCTTTAAAATGTTTACTTTCAATGCGGATTATTTAGAATTAAGCCACAAACTTTTAAAGGCATATAATTAAAAAATAAAGATTTAGAATGCATGTACAATATCTCCTTCAATGCATTGCAAGCTTCTGACTCAAAGTAACAACAAATACATATATATATATATATATATATATATATCATATTTTTGTTGTTCCCCAAATAAGTCATCAAACTCTATCAACACAGAAATGCATACAACTAGTTCGGTTTCCAATTTCCACACATTTTTCCCCCGGTCCTAGGAAAACTCAGTTTTGGTCAACTGAAAATCCCGAAGTAATCAACTTAAAGCGAAACTTTGCCGGCCAAACTTTTGCAGATACAAAGATGCTCACAATCAGATACACAGCTACATGGGCCTGTGCTACCAACTTGGCTATAATTGAGCAATTTACACCACAACAAGATGGGGGGCAGTGGGTGGTTCTGTTTGTTTTTTTTTTTCTTGTATGGTTTTTTGGGTTGCTGGAAGGTCAGCTCGCAAGACGAATCGGGGAAAGTTTACCCGGGAGCATCACACAGTGCTGGAATGTGATAAAAATGCCGAGATTATGTAACCGAAATACTTTTAAATCGAAATCGAGCAATATAAATTCATGGCTTAGACACTTGAAAATGCCAACGACGGTTGGGACACTTGGTCATGGCCCATGGCTATGAGGGGGGTTATTTGGGTGACGGGCTGGGCGGTCTTCCCATTGGGAAATGGAAACTGGGAACTGGGAACTGGGAACTGGGAAATGAAATATTGTGAGCACACACACCGAAAAGGGAGGGCAACAGGCGACAGACAGTGCTGAGTTTGCCAGTTTTTGGTTTGGCTCTAAACAATATTTTATACTTACATGGCCGAGGATATTTATTAGTTTGTTGTGCGCATCGCTGCCACTCTCGAACGCCCAATTTCAGCTGCACATTCGAACTCCTTTTTACGATGCCGCTGGGCTGGCATTTACATGCGAAATGTCTTAAGTCGCTGCCATTAAAACTCAAACGAATGCGATAAAATCGGCGACCGTTAGTCGGCACCTTAATACCTTAATAGTATGACATGCCGAAAAAAAATGAATAAAAAGTACGAAAAGTGGGGGAACTGTTTCCGAATAAACGCTTACATTTATTAATTACGCATGCAGTTTGACGGACTCTCGAGAATTTAATCTCACAAATTGATGGTTAACCCTCTGCTAGCTGATATATTTTCCGCATCATCCCACACTCGAAGAAAAAGCTGATTTAAGTCAATTTATGGATTGGCAACGATCGATCAAAGCTGGACAAATTTAAGGAATTTTTCTCATTCAATTGATCATTAATTCTGCCGTAATTTATCAACAGATTCATTTAATTTAAATTATCAATTAAATGTCATTTCGCTGTTAATCAATCAAGGGGGTTAAAATTAATCATTAATAACAAACAAATGACAAACAATTAATAGAATTGTATTGTTGTTTCTTGGAAATCAATAAAAAATCAAGTAACTAAGATCATCCCTAATTATAATGACACATTCTTTACTTTTGAAGTTTAGAAGTAATTTGTTTTCATCAACACCTCTGAATATAGTATCTTCCTTAAACATTAAGCAATAAAGAACGACCAAATCTAATAAACTATGCACCATCCCTATTAAGCAATCAAGAAGCTGCTGTCCTATCAAAGTCATCACAAACAAAAGCCGAGAAATACATAAATATTTAACTCAGCGGGCGTGGATGAATCTGGAGTCTGGAGTCAGAAGTCTGATGTCTGGATTCTGGCATTTATCACACACTCGGCCACAAGGGTTAAGCAATTATAGGGGCAGATGGTGACGCCTACACTGAGCGACCGAATCGATGACCAACTCGCCGAGGGAAAAAAACAACCGCAGGGATGTGGGGCGAAGAGAACTTGGCCGGAAAGATGGGCCAAGTCGATAGCAATGTGGAACGATGACGAGCCTGGTCAATGAACCATGTCGATGGGACTCAGATGGGGACCGGAATGAGTTGCCTTGCATCTGGGGCTGACACACTTCGGCCGACCGGCGCAACAAACAAATAATCAAACAAACAGACGGAGTAAACAGGCCGAAAAGAATCCCGTCACAGGTCCAAGGATCCGTCGCCCCGAAAACTCTGTCAAAATCACAAAAGCCACCATGACGCCTCACAAAAGCCGACAAAAGAAGCGTTCTCAGTGGCTGCAGATGGGCGGTCAGTGCTGTCTGCTTCTGCAAAAAATAAGAAATATAGCTGCCTTTGAAGCAAAGGTTAAGGCGTTCTTTATTGGAAACATTGTAAGAAACATAATATTAATTCTTGTTCCTTAAAGTAAACCCTTTAAGGAACAAGTTGTAGAAACTTGTTAAATGTGGGCACAAAATTTGTAGAAAGGTTACTTTTTGGACATGTTATTTATCATTATTCTTAAATATATAAACAATTTTTTGTAACTCTTTAGGCACATATTTTATTAATACAAAACATTTTTAGATATATAAACAATGCATTGTTACTTTCAGCCATATATTTGATCAATAAACAAAATTTTTAAATAAATAAACAATTGAATGTCCTTTTCGATAATAACGAAATCTATCAACAGAAATAATAAATTTCTTCAGAAAACCGCTAGATGTATTAGCCAGAATTTGTAGCCAAACTGTCATCTTTGAGTCTGAGGAGTTGCCTGATAAGGAAGGGAAATGGAGAAGTTGGGAAGTGGGGGAGTGGGGGAGTGTGGGCGTGTGGGCCACCGAAAACACTGCCAAATCATTGGCATTGACGTGCGAGCAAAAGAGGGGTTTATTATGCTGCAGAGCCAGCCTGTTGCCGGCCTTTCTTCATTTGCCACTTTCTTGTTCCTGCTCTTCGCATGGACATTTTTCATCTTTAGTGCCGAAAGGCTTCACTCGAGTGCTCTGCGTGTGTTTTCTTCGGTGGGTTCGGGTGGGTATATAAAAGGCCGCGCATTCGCCCCAATGCCACACAATCAATTATTGAATTCTGAGTGCAACATGTTCCGTTCGAAAGAGATCTATGCGGGTGTGAGAATCAGCTTCCTACTGCTTTGCCTGGCGATCCTGCTGATGCACAACCCCGTCGATGCCCGATGGACCCGGAGGCCGAGGCGCACCACCACGCCCAGGAGTACGACAAAGAATCCGGATCGCCACCAGCATGTGCACCACTGGCCACCACTGGTACCACCAACGGCCCAGCCCCAACCACATCCCCAAGTTGTTGTGGTGCAAAAACCCAGCTACACAGAGTCGAGTCCTCGCCTAATCGACAGCTTCGATCAGAGATCAATCGACGGGCAGTATGAGTTTAGGTAAGAAATGGTAAAAGAATATGGAAAAATTTGTAATTGACATGCCAAAATAAATAGACAAAAAAACTAGATTTTCAAATTCACTTTTAAAGGTTTCAGAAAGACGCTCTAACAAGAAATATTTTGTTTCCTGCTTTTAGGCACCTTCTTAAAGTGATTTAAAATCCAAAATTTTTATAGAAGTCCTACAATATAATTAATCTATATATTATTTTACAGAAGTCTTTAAATATATATTTTTGACAAACAGAAAAAAAACTTTATTATAATGATACTTGCTTCGATGAAATCCCTTTTTAGTTTTGATACGGGAAAAATGACATTAACGTTATTCAATAGTAAAAGTTATACGTATTTGTTGATGTCTTTTTTTGTGCAGATACCAGCTGGACAACGGGAACACCCGCTACGAGCGCGCCTACTGGCTGCCAGTGGGCAAGGACCTCGTCCTGGCCAAAAAGGGCTACTACTCGGTGCCTCTGCCCAATGACAAGTACTCGACGGTGTTCTACACAGCCGACCATCGTGGCTACCATGTTGACATGCGTGAGTTTCGAGCTCTGAGCCATAAGTCCCTGTCAAATCATTTTCAAACCGCTAATGAATTTATCCAAAACGCAGAGACATTATCAGAGGAGCAGCCGCTGTTGCCGCGGAACCTCGAAGTGTCCGGAATGGAGAGGGAAATGGGAACGGCAACGGGAGCGGCAACGGGAGCGGGAACGGGAAAGGGTTCCGAAATGGGCACGGGTGCGGGGTCTAAGCGAAATTCAATAAGCGACCCGGAGCGTAACGAGCTGGATATGGAAGTGGATGAGAATGTGGACGCAAGTGAAGCTGGCACCGAGCTGGTTCCTAATGTAAGTGCCACTGGGGGCTAGGTTTACTCGGAACCAAGGCCCCCTCCATATGAGTATACCGAAAAAAACGGTTTGAGGGATTTTATTCCATGACAATTAAGGGTTTTTATTATATTTTTCCTAATATTACATTAGTTTAATCATGGTCAAAACTTTACAGCTTTCTTTTCTTTGATTTTTGATAACTTAATTAATACAATAACTTTATTGAAAAACGTACTCTATATTTATTAAAATTTTTCAAGATGTTTAAATGAATTGAAAAAAAAAAACAAAAAACTAGAATTTTGTCATGTTATACAATCACTAGTTACTTGTTGATCAAATTCCATAATATCATACATTTTGAATTTTTCACTGTGCATTTCCCCCGTTTTGCTGCAGGCTGTAAACCAAGTCGAAACCCAAACCGAACCATCAACTTTGGCCAACGACATTTTGGCAACTGAAGCACCAGCCGACAGCCACGTTGAGGATGATGACGATGTTGATGATGATGAAGGCGCCTCAAACTGAAAGCCAGAACATTAGAGGACATTTCGGCATATACAGGATGGTGGATGGTGGATGGTGGATGGTGGATGAAGGGCCTGGATGAAGGGACTGGATGAAAGGACACACACACTTGGCTGAGTCGCAGCTCGCTCTACTTGCTGCAAATCAAATTGAAAACAATTGTTGCAGTCAGCAGTCGGACACAGTTGAGTTGGCCAGTAGTCACGGCATCCCAAGGAGGGGGACAAGTCAACTCGACTCCACTTAACTCCATCTTCATCTTCATCTTCATCTTGCAGTTCATGGGGAATGTGTCTCAATTGGTCGCTTGACAGCTCCTTCTAGCTCCCTTTTCCTTTTATATATGATAGATTTCTTTTTTTTTTTTTGCAATATTCAATAAAAATAAATATAGGCTATATACTTCCAGTCGTTTTTATTTCAACATTGACTTATGAACTTAAAGGGTTTTTGAAGCACAGCATATACTATGTATGTATGTAATAATATACTTACTTATGTTAGTTGATGAACGTATTAAATTTTGGTCTAAAAGACTTAAGACTTGATTCTTATTTTATGTCTCAATTATTTATTACTAAATTGGTTCTTTTGAATAATTAGTTTTAAATAAAAGTAATATTTGCTGGTTGACTGTTTTCAAATTCCTAACTTAATTGTATATATTTACAACTGTTTTGACATGATACGACATTTTAATTGTCAAACGATTTTAAAAATTAGTTTGTGAACAGAATGTAATCTTGCTTAATGACAGCTCTTAAATGACATCATGTTCAGACACCCAAACGAGGTCCATTGCAGCAATTTCAAATAGTTTAGAGGTGTCATAGCCATTTTCAATGGGCGAACCGTGTGCTGTGTGTGTGTGTGTGTGTGTGTGTGTGTGTGTGTGTGTGATGGGCAAAAGATGAGACATTATGAGGCGGCTGACAAAAACACATTCGAGCCTCAATTTGCCAGCTGCCGACGACTGTCTTTTGTGGGGCCAGGCCTTTTGGATCGCTGCCTTTGCTATGGCCACTGCCTGCACCACTGCCTGCACCACTGCCTGTGCCACTGCCTTTGCCATGGCCCCCTTTGCTGGTTTCAATTTAAATGGTTTCTGGAAAAACGACCCAAATTGGGTGGTCGCATTGGTGAAAAGGCGATGCCAGGAGATTTGTCGGCAGCAAATCGGTGAGCATTCATAAAACTTCTCCATTTCTGGCCCTCCACTGCTCTCCACTGCTTTTGGCCAACTGCATGTCCCTGTAAGACTTGGCTGCCTTCCTTCGGTTTCTCCGCAAAACACACCCACAGTCAGGTGCACATGTGCTCGTAAAATGCAGCGCACACTGGGAAAAAATAGTTGGCAAAAAGTATAAGTTGCTAGAAAAGATGGCTTTGTAAATTCCCAAATTATAGGGCATTTTTATGCGAATGTTATCTCACATGAGCTGTCATTTAATGTGTTTCTGTTTTTTTTTTGCTTTAATAGCATAAATACTAAATAAACAAATAAAATTTTATGTCGGATATAAGTTCTATATATAGCCTCGTATATGTACTATATATGGTAATCATTAATTTAAAATTAAAAATCATTTCAATTCTGTGTTAATATAAAAGACTGATTCATTTGATTCATAACCCTAGGATTGCACTTTGTTTTTCTATTTTATGTTATACAAATTCTTAATAATATGAAAATCAAAGTACTGCCCTTGAATATAAAAATTGTTCTTTTTTGATATTTATTTCGGCGAGTGTGGAGTGAATCGGGACCGAGTTCTGTGGCAGGATAACTGCAGCTATTCATTTCGCTACTAATCCAATGCGGGCCGGGATTCGGATTCAGGATTCCGGATCGTACTGGTCCTTTTGGCCCTCTCCCTCTCACTGCCCTTGACTCGTTTTGTATTTACGAGTCAGCCATGCCCACGTAATGAATGGCAGGACCTCCTGCTCCTCGGGCGTGTGAATGAATTGAGTGTGCAAATGGCTGAATGAATGAATGAACCAATGCGAATGCGACTACGAATGCTGGTGGAATATGTTTTTGTGGCCTGTTGGGGGGCGGATCGATGGCCGACGTGAGTCACGTTGCCATCTCTGGCATAAGGCATACTATATAGCCCAGCCTGCCTGCAATCCACCCTCCAAACTCACAGTTCTTTTCTTAATTTTATGTGCGTCGCCTGCATCAAAGTTTACACATTTACCACACTCACGTGAAGCTCCATAAAAGCAGCGCCATTGGGAATGAAGATTGAATGGACTTTGCACTGGATACGCAGCTCATCCCGCCCAGAACTTTCCAAGCACCCGAACACATTAGCATTTTTCAGACAGGACCGGCACAATATGATGGATTACGCATCCCCAACAAATATGTTTCACAATTTCAACGAGGATACTCAGCAAGCACCGAAAGAAATAAAAGTCATTTGCAAACCCTAGATTTTAGTGGTTCTCTTTATTCAAATATTTATATATTTTTTTTTTATTATTTAAACTTTTCACTTTTGTCATATCTCCATAAAAACTTTTATATCAAAATGATTTGATACCCAAACTGAAGATAATTTTGTTTGTGTATTCTGACATTTCGATTGGCGCACTTGTGGCTATTTATAAGGTGCCATGGGTCATCGATGACCCTTGTCCCGGATTATTAATGTAAATATACACACGGACCCTTAACCCTTAACCATATCATTTGCCCATTTGCCAAAATTAATTTATCTTCATGAGCACTCTCCAGACAACAGAAAAATGGGAAAAACAAAACGCAGCCGAGTACCAAGTTCTCCAGGGACCTGACCCATGTCCAAATCGAGTTCGGCCGCCGTATTGTAAATAAGTAAATAGGGAAATAAATAAATAAATTGAGTAATGGCCATAATTGACGTGTCGCATGAAAAATTCAAAGCGCCGACAAACACACAAATTGAATGGGAACGGGAACGGGAATGTGAATGTGAATGCGAAAGCCAGCCGTTGAACTTTAGTCCCCCAAAAGTCCAAGTCGAAAAGCCAGGCCAAAACGAAGCCAAAACAGTCCAGAAACTGCGTGTGTGAGTGACTGCGGCATTTTCCAGATTTATATCGGGGTTATCAAACCTCGAAGCACAATGAGAGCACACACACATCCACACACGTGCACACACGAAAATGCTCAAAAAATCAAACGGAGTTTGGCTCTAAAAAGTGGCTAAGATATTTGTTGGTTCTTAGTAAGCCAGGCACATACCATCGACCAGACAGCTGAGGGGGAGTCGAAGATGGGGGCCCCATTTGATAATATCTGGGTTTGCCCCGCAAACATTCTACACAGGAACAATCTCAGACATTGGATCCCAATTCTCAATACTTCCATGGGTTCAATTTTTAAATAAACATTTCTTTATTTTTGTTTGAAGAGATTTTATGTATCCTATCGAATAAAAAATATATATGAAAGCTTAAATTTCCACGTATAAAATGTATTTACAAGATTGATTAATATTAAATTTCTCCCAATGTACTCAACCCTCTCCTTATAATGTTGATATATTTATGCAAACAGCTAGGTATTTCGTATTTCGCATTTAAGTTTATCAAAAACACGACTCCATCTAATCTGAAGATTAATAATGCGGCTCTGCGTAAATTTCAATTGTGACCACAGACCCACACATGCTGTCCGCAAAAATGTAGATTTAATGGGGACCTCAGCTGCAGCTTCGACCATGGTCAGCAAAGTCCAATAGGAACGGAAGCCAGGGCAAGTGGGTTGGAAGGGAGTGAAAGTCCGCCCCTTTTTATGGTTAGTATTTTATTGACTCGGATTAGACGTATGCCACAGTCCGTATTCTGCATCCGTAAGATACACATTAGAGAGATGGAGCGACCTGCTGCACGATTGCAACAACGTTTCGACCAGATTCTCTGCCATATTTTCGGTAATTGAGAATTGTGAATTTCGGCCCGGCTTAGCCGCTTAATAAATTTATGCAAACCAAGATAGAGAGATACAAATGTATCTGCCAGGGATCTGCAGAGATTCGTTCTATGCACAGTGAGAAAGCAGTGCGAGTTTGAAATAACATCCATTTGAACTAGAACAATAATAATAATAATTTGTATTATTATCTTTATTAAAAACTTAAGGTAATTAATAATATTATAAACACAAAAATGTAATTTCCGCTTTAGCATTATGTAAACATCAGTTTAATTGAATGTAATCAAAATTTTAGAAAATGTAAATGGTTATTATATTGTTAAACGTATCATAAATTTACTCTTCAGCAGAAAGCTTATAATTAAACGATAAATGAGTAAAAAGTCATATAAGTTATTATTTTATATTTCGTTTTAATAAATTGAAAATGTTTGCCTGTGTATCGGCAAGTTTTGTTGTTTGTTCCCCGCCCCCTATTCCCGGTATTTGTTTATCATTGCTTCTTTTTTGCACAGACACTCAGCTTGCGGATTTTATAATTTATTCAAGACACCAAACAAACTCGGCTTAAGTCTTACAAATTGTTTTGAGATGCTCGGCATATCATATAAAAAAGTACAAGCGAAAAGGAAAAGCAGCAGAAATCTGTATCTGAGTTTTGAAGAGCACCGCAAAAAATAAAAAATAAAAAGTAAAAAAAAAAAAAGGGGAGAGGGCGGGACGTGATTTGATGGGAATTATTCCATTGCCGGCAACAGGCAGCAGACTCAAAGCCGCAAAAAAGTGGGCAAAGTGCTCCAGACCAAAAGGTAGCTATCCCGGAGTGCAGAGTGTGGAGAGAGGGTTGCGGGTGGGGGGGGGATAATGGGGGGCGTGGGAGGGTCCACAACAAGTTGTATCTCGGAGATGTCATGTCACGTAGGCAGCAAGCGCTACATGGACCATTCATACAAATTTTGTTTTATAAGCCACTTTTGTACGTTATTTGTGTGTAACTTTGCCCGATTCAGACTGGCTGGTCTGCTTCTGCTGCTGCTGCTGCTTCTGCTCCGTGTGTGTTTATCTGTAGCTATATCTTCCCCGGGCTCACTCTTTTTTTGGGCCATTTCATTGCCGCCGATGTAGATTCACTTGCGAGCAATTGCCAACACAAGGCACAGTGGTTAATCCCTAGAAGCTCGACTACATACGTTGAAAGTTGATAAAAAAAGTTTCACAACCAAACGACTTTTTTGAAAAACTCAAAAAATGTTAAATGTAAATGCCAAAACCAAGTTTTTAATGTGTTTTATGGATTTTTGGCGATTTTTCAAACAAAATTATTTCTGAAGAGTCTTTTTGCTGTAACTTTGCCAAAATAAGACCCAAAGTCAAAAGAGTTGCTATTTTGAACAGCTGGCAACCCATACCATCCGTCCCCGATCGATTGAAAACAATTTATTCAGCTTTGACGCAAAAACC